ATTGCCTTATTTGGAACAGCGCCTGCGCGTCCCCTGCTTGCCCCCCCACCTCGTCCCCCCCCCAAAAATACAAAGCTAAACCCAACCTGGTGTTGAAGTGGGTCCCAGAAGTAACCCAGGAGTCTGCGTGAGCTTTCTTTTGGAAAAACTAAAAAACTCTTGGCTCTGGTTTTACTCACTCTTAACCTTGTCCGTTCTTCGTAGTGATTTTCTTGCCCGCCTCGGTCTGCTGGGGGTAGGCTGAAGGATGGGCGGGTGGTTTCCTCGGTGGACTCCTCCTGAGGCTGCTCCATCGGCTGTGTTGTGCCCAGTGGATGGAGGTTCTTTCTGCGTGGCTGGTAGGGTGTTGTGCAGAGTCTGCCCTGCGAAGTCCGGAGGTGCAGTGCCAGCGCTGTGCGGCAGAGCCTGTGCCCTGCTCCCTCTTTGCCTAGCTGATGTGCTCTTGCGAGTCGGGTGGATTGGAAAGGACGTCTTTACGTACGTGAGTGACAGACGGTTTTCTTTCACGTTGAGAGAATTGAGACTCGCCAACAAAAGTAGATGCTGTTCGGTGGAAAGGTTAAACATACTAGCGTGGAGTTTTGCACCTTTTCTGAAGAATGCTGCTTGGTTTTGTTTGTGTTGTTTCACTTTGTAGCGTGCCTTAGTCCACTGCACATCTTCAGCTTGTTTTCAGTGCTGTGAAGAGGAAGATGTGCAACTCTGTGGTTGCTGTACTGGAAATACATCGAACGATTTGGGGTGTTCTTCCAAATGGAAACTTCCTTGTGCATGAAAGATTTATCTCCTTCTTGAAGCAGCTGTGTTTTTGCATGAACTGTTTTTCAGGTGATTACGTTCTTTCCTGCGTTGTAAAGGGCTGTTTGACACTGCTAGATATGAAGGTATATAGTTGAATCCTTCTAATACAGGATTGCTTGTTTCTCTTAAAGGTCTAATAAAAAAATAAAAAGACCATCTTTTCCTAAATGCATTTGCTGTTTTAATGTAAGTCTGAAGAGCGTAGTTGTATCTTTCTCACTTGTAAGTCTGGTGTGGATGTCCTGGAAGATCTGTGACTATCTGTGTTTGTTTGAATTCCCTCTCTTGGGCAGTTTGTGGATGGTTTGCTAGTACGTCTTTCTCGAAGTTCACTTTGGTAATGATGCTTATGACTGAAAATGGCTTGTTGAGTTGTGTGAGGAGACAATTATTTTGTTCTTTGTGTGGTTAATTCCTGGATAGTTTTCCAAAGAATCACAATTTTAGTATGAGATGGTCTACTAAGCAAGGAAAGAGCAAGGGTTTTTCATCCCTTCTTTAAATACAAAATACATATGTTGCCACTTACAGTGTTTGCCTCTTTTGTTGAGTTGTAATTCCAGGAAGACAATTTTTATACAGAGATGGAAAAGACTGGCATTTGATCAGGACGTGGATAATGAGAAGACAGATTACACCTGAAAACGCAGTATCTCAGTGGGGATTCCTTACTGTCTGCTTTGGCGAGGTGGCTGTGAAATGTCCTGTGGTTTCAGTGGTTTGCGTGACCCAGGAAGAGTTCCTTGTGTGCAGCTGCAGGGAGGCTTGCTGAGGTGCGGCTTGTGTTGCTGTGTTCAAATGAGAAGGTGCGCAGTTGGAGGAAGGAATATCATTGTGGTGGAGCAAGGGTTTGTTGAAATTGAGGGTTTTCAAGTATTTAATTCTTGTTCTTTGCCTTTGAAAGAGTAATTCATTCACCTATTGGTGATGGGAAAATTTGAAAGATTCTTTGGACGTTTTCTGGTTCTTTTTATATGCTTTGTGGAAGGCACATTCATGTCTCAGAACCATTTGAAAGCTGTGCGATGCAACTATCAGCAAGTCATACAGGTGTAAAGCATTAGAAAATGCACTCTTACTCTTGTGGTCGTTGTATGTCGCAGTGCCTTGTGGTGGTCACAGGTTTGAACTTTCTTTATATACAGTTCTTTGTGGACTGTTACTGCTGTTGTGTTGCCTGCATTGATTTTTGCCTCCATTTATTCTTTATTGCAGTCTAAAAGTTGGTTTTAATTGGTTGCCCACAGGATTGGCTTGGCTTCTGCTACTTGTTAAGAAAAAAACATCTGTCTTTGCAGGTAAGAGCCTTTGAATTGAAGACTTCTTTGTATGCTTATTGAGTATATCTTAAGAAATATTCGAAGCTTTTGGAATCTGTGAATTGGCATCAGAACACTTGGGTCAAATAATCTGTAGCTAGTCTCTGTCCTTTGACTCCCACTGGTGATGGGGGATCTGGCAGTGTTGTTCTTGTAAACAGAATTTTCTGCCAAACGAATGTTTTGTTGTTTCGTCAGCATGTGGTAGTCCGGAGCACTCTACCAGTTATTTTGCAGTGTTGGAAGATGTAGCTGCTTTGCTGCAGGCCACAGGTCTGCATGTTTCTAACGACTGGAGTTTAGAAGTGTACAGTTAGTGATTCTAATTAGATTTTGCAGCTTGTAAAGGGGTCAGATTAAGATAGTCATCTCTGAGCTGATTTGAGCCTAACAGGTTGATTTTAGCCTTTTTTTTTTTTTTTTTTTTAAAAAAAGCAAAACTGTAGTCTGCAACTTTAGCTGTTGCTAGACAGTCTCAGCCTGGATGCTTAAAATTCCTCCTACAGCACCAGTGTTACAAACTTTGTAGTCTTTGTGCAGGAATTGCCACAGATGTTGTGTATGCTTGTGTACTATGTGGGTACTTTAATACTCCCCAGGGACGATGTTGAATCTTCTGAACTTTTCTTAATTTGAAAAATGCATTCATCTCAAGAGGCTAGTCTGGTGTTTTCATCAGTTTCTGCATGTGACCCAAATTCTGCTTGTTTTACTGATTAGCACATAGATGGAAGAAGCAATATTATCGTGTACACCTTTTTCCAGTGTAACATCAACTTTTTTAGACGTTCAAGACATGAACATGCTGTTAAGGCTCATCAGATGAGTTAAATCAAGTTGATTATTGGCAGCCTGTTGCTCTCCATTTTTGATCTTGGCTTGCTAATGGAGATGGCTTGTCCATAGTGCAACTTTAGGATTTTGTGCTTCTGGTCTCTCCAAAACTATACCAAACACACAAAATGATTACAAAACCTACTTCTGCCTTCAAGTACCTTTTTGTACTAGGGGGGAAAGCAGGCAGCTGGAGAACACCTCTGAAACAGCTCAACAAAAGCCTTCTGTGCATGCTTACCAGGTGTGTAGGCCATGCTGTGTCCGAAGTTGATGTTGCCTCTGCATGGATGGTGATCTTTACAAGTGACCTGTGAAATATTTGAGCAGCCTTTGCTTTTTCATGAGTTGGAAAATTTGAGTGGGTTATTGTCTCCTCCTAAGTGCATTTTGGAAAAAATCGGACTTGTGGGTGCTTAGAAATGTGAAATCTGGCCCTCTGGTCTTTGTGATTTTTTTTCAAATCACAGAAGTGACACTAGTACTTTGTTAAAGCACTGAAATCCTGAAAAATTTGAAGCAGGTATGTTTTGAGTTGGCAAAGTATTTTTTGCCAAATAGATTTGATGGGGTAAGGTCATTAAAATTATTTTTATTCATACCATGCTACTGTTAGCTCTTGCTTAATAGCAAGCATTTGGTTAATACTGTGCATGGAATTAACTACGCTGGAGTCGCTGCAGCTAGTTTTTCTAGAAACTGTATGCCTCAGCAGCTGTTTGGGGCTTTTTGTCAACAGTAATTTAGTGAACCTAAATAGAATACTTAGTAACAAAACTTCAAGATGTCTGTTAGCATTTATAATGAAGTCTTGAATTTCATGCAAGATTGAAACACTTGCATTATCCCCTAAGTTACGTAAATGTTCAAATGCTGGAACTCCTCTGAAGAGTTCTTTTGTGACCTGTTAATTTGTAAATCATTAGTAAATGCAGTTATCTAGCAGATGTCAGTTCTGATAAAGAATATGTGATGTTCTGAACCAGCATATCTGAGCAGAAAAACCTTCCCAACTGGCTTTTGTTCAACTAATAGCCGTATCGGATTGTCATCCCTTTTGCATTAGTAAGGAAACAACTAAAAGTAATCTCCCATTTAACACAAGAAACTTCAAATGTCTAACTCCTGATACGTAAAAATTTATGAAACTAATTTCTTTGTGTCATGGGTAATAGAGGAAATGGAAACCTCCTAGCAAGATAGGCTGTTAGTATTATTTTAGTTTTCGAAGCATAGGTGCAAAACCGGGGATGCTTTTATACCGCTTGCCTGCCTCAGGGTCGTCTGATTCGAAAGCAGTCCTGCAGCATAACGTAGTAACCTTCAGTTTTACGATCGCCTGTGGTACGGCTTCCTTAAAATAGGCAGAGTTTTCATTTTAACCTTAGTTTCAGAGATTGCTGTCAACGTTAGGCAAATTTAAAATAAAACTACAGAATCCTTGAAAAATACTGCTGTTTCAAAACAGTGTAAAAAGTCTTACATGCTTTCTCAGGTGTGTACATAGCAGGCTTTTACTCTGGCCTGTTTTTTCCACATGGGGCAGTTATTTTGCTGTTGGAAAATGATCGGGCAATGAACTTCATTCTCAAGTTTAATGTGAGTATCACTGTAAGAGAAAAATGGAAGGTGTTGCTTTTGTTAGCTTGCTGTGGAGATGGGAAAGATGCTTTTAGAAAAATAATCGCCGAGGCTTAGTATATATTCCCCTTTCTGTTGCTGCCATCCTTTGGCAGGTTAGGGGTGTTCTTACCAGTATGTACAGCTAGAATTTTTTTTTTTAGACCTTCTTGTGTTCGTCTTGCAAGTTCAGTCTCTCTTTCAAGACGCTGCAGTAGGCAGTCAGATGTTTGTTTGCAGCAGCTAGAGCAGCAGAGCTGACACTGAGCCAGTGGGCCCGTCTGCTGTTTGCTTGAGGGAGAAAGGTCCTCTGTGCTTCTCTGGTGGCACCTGGATGTGGGCCAGTGCCCTCTAATACCCCAGTACGTTGCTTCAGTTCAGCAGTGTGTGGAAGGGGTTAGCTCTGGTTTACTGGGCAACAGAACAAAATACTGCAGTACCCACTTGAGTGATCTGAAGTTCCATCATGCTTACAAAAGAATTGCTTCTGTTTTTTGCTGTAGAAGAGCTTTTACTCTTGTTTTCGTTAAATACTGAATTCAGCCTCACATGTTGGTGGTTGAATTGTTGGGTAGTGGCTTTACATAGTAAAGGATGTATGCGAGGCATGTCTACTCTCAAGCGGCTGGGAGACCTGGACAGGCAAATGCAGCTGACTGAAGGATGTGACTGTGTGCTGGGATACCATACCTAGCTGAATATGGAATGCTGGGAGGTAGTCACTGATGGTAGTCGCTCATAGCTGTGGCACACAGCCGGACGTCGTTGGTGGTGCGCTGCCTCCTGGTGTTGCGTTGTGTAGCTGGCTCATCCTGGGTTTCAGATGCTTCATAAACACCATTTGTACGTGACTAATGGGAGCCTTAGAGGTCTTCCATACAGATACTTAGCTGTCTTGTGCTGAGGACGTCAAGAAGTTTCAAAGATGAAGTGGCTCGGGTGGAACTAGGTGCTACTGCTGACTGTTTAGGATGTGAGGCTGGCTTCTGAACCGGTGCTAGTATTAATATGATGCTTTCAGTCTTTGTAGAAAGCTTGTCAAGCATAAGTGAGAATTACGTAGTTTCCTTTTTATCTTGAGCTTCTGATATGACCTCAGGCGCTTCTGTAGAGTGTGTACAAGGTAGCTGTCAAGATCTGCCTGTTCAGAATTGATCTTAAGCTTCTAGTAACCTCAGCTGTGGAGGTGAAAGTCATGTACTTGTGCCTGAGATGGAAGGTATAATACTAGACGGAACATCTGCAACTATTAAATAATTATACTGCGTTTTTGAAAGTTGTAAAGGCCAAATACCTAGCTAGGATATCCATAGATGTTAATTTAGTTTAGGCGAGGTCTGTATAGCCACAAAATGTCTGGGGCTAGTTAATAACGGTCACCTAGAGTTCTTGCCTTTGCTAGGAGAAAAATATAAGATCAGTATAAGCTAGGTGGTTCCTGTCAGGATGTTGTGTGAGTCTCACTGTTGCTAGTTGTGCATAATGGTTTTTTGTTCATAACCAACCTGCTGTTATGTTCCCAGTCATCTTCACCTGGCAGGAGATAAAATCCCTCCACAAATGAAAGAGGACTGTTTATTTCCCATAGGTGTGCAGAATTTTTTGCAGTCACTTTGCCAGGTACAGTGGATACCATATTGGTGTATGGTAAATAATTTTTTTTTCTTGGCTAAAATATGAATTTTGCTTGTTTTCCATTAAATAATCGACTACTGATATCGCAGTTCTGATTTTTGCTGTTCCTTACTTTTTTTTTTTTTTACTGACACTTGTGGGTCTTAGTTTAACAGTCATTTTGGAATTTCTAGTGCAAAATGTATGCTAATTGTGTTGGTAAATGTTTAATACTTCAATCTGTATGAAGTAAACAAATGTGTATAAGGAACTCGGAATATAAACATGCTTAATCTTTGCAAGATGATGTTAGGTGTATGTAAACAAATATAGTAGATGGTGTCTGTAGGTAATTGCCTGGTGTCATAAACACTAGTCTGACATAGCCGTTGCCTTTTCTCATCTGCAGGTGTGTGTTGTTTCAGCGCAGCATGGCTGTGGTCATCCGCTTGCAAGGTCTCCCGATTGTGGCGGGGACCATGGACATTCGCCACTTCTTCTCTGGATTGACCATTCCTGATGGGGGAGTGCATATTGTAGGGGGTGAACTGGGTGAGGCTTTCATCGTTTTTGCCACTGATGAAGATGCAAGGCTTGGTATGATGCGCACAGGTGGTACAATTAAAGGGTCGAAAGTAACACTATTGCTGAGCAGTAAAACTGAAATGCAGAACATGATAGAACTAAGTCGTAGGCGTTTTGAAACTGCCAATCTAGATATGCCGCCAGCAAATGCTAGCAGATCGGGACCACCGCCTAGTTCTGGAATGAGTGGAAGGGTTAACTTGCCTACTACTGTACCTAACTTTAATAATCCTTCTCCTAGTGTAGTTACTGCTTCTACTGCTGTGCATGAAAGCAATAAAAACATATCCACATTTTCTACTGCCAGTATGGGGACTGCACCTCCAAATCTTGGGAGTACCTTTGGTAGCCCAACATTTAGCTCAACTATACCTAGCACAGCATCCCCAATGAACACAGTACCTCCTCCACCAATCCCTCCTATCCCAGCTATGCCATCTTTGCCACCAATGCCTTCTATTCCCCCGATACCTGTTCCACCTCCTGTACCCACGCTGCCTCCTGTTCCTCCGGTTCCTCCGATACCCCCTGTGCCCCCCCTCCCTCCAATGACACCTATGCCTCCCATATCAGGAATGCCTCCTATGAATCCTCCACCCGTAGCGCCTTTACCCCCTGGAATGAATGGGGACGGAGCAGCAGTGAATATGAACAGCAGCTTGAATCCATTGTTTATTGGTCCCATGAATCCTGTAAATCCTATCCAGATGAATTCTCAAAGTAATGTCAAGCCAATTCCAATCAATCCAGACGATTTGTATGTCAGCGTTCATGGAATGCCCTTTTCTGCAACAGAATCTGATGTGAAAGACTTTTTCCTTGGGCTCCGTGTGGATGCGGTCCATATGCTGAAGGATCATGTAGGTCGAAATAATGGAAATGGACTAGTTAAGTTTTTTTCTCCTCAAGATACATTTGAAGCACTGAAGCGAAACAGAATGCTGATGATTCAGCGCTATGTTGAAGTTAGTCCTGCGACAGAGAGGCAGTGGGTGGCTGCTGGAGGCCACATAACTTTCAAGCAAACCATGGGTCCCTCTGGGCAGTCGCACCCTCCACCTCCCCAGGCTCATCCTAGGTCAAAATCTCCCGGTGGGCAGAAAAGGTCGCGGTCGAGATCGCCCCACGAGCAGGGCTTCTGTGTTTATTTGAAAGGTCTTCCCTTTGAATCAGAGAACAAACATGTGATAGATTTTTTTAAAAAGCTGGATATAGTTGAAGACAGCATTTATATAGCTTATGGACCTAATGGGAAGGCGATTGGAGAGGGTTTTGTCGAGTTTAGGAATGAAGCTGATTATAAAGCAGCTTTGTGTCATCATAAGCAGTACATAGGGAATCGCTTTATTCAAGTTCATCCAATTACTAAAAAGGCAATGTTAGAAAAGATAGATATGATTCGTAAAAGACTGCAGAACTTCAGCTATGACCAGAGAGAAATCCTCATGAGTGCTGAGGGAGAACCAGGCCCGCCAAAATTGTGTGCACATATATCTAATATTCCATACAATATAACAAAAATGGAAATCCTTCAGTTTCTAGAGGGACTGGCAGTAGAAGAAAACTCCGTACAGATTCTTGTTGATAATAACGGGCAAGGTTTAGGACAAGCACTGGTTCAGTTTAAAGCTGAAGAGGATGCTCGTAAGGCAGAGCGTTTGCATCGTAAGAAACTGAATGGAAGAGATGTTGTTTTGCGTTTGATAACTGTGGAAGAAATGAGAGATATTGAGAGAAACCCACCATCTCAAGGGAAAAAGATACTGAAAATACCAATACAAGCAAACGCGGCTGTGCCACCGGGAGCACAGGGCGCCGGTGGGGATGAGCATGCATTCTTGGCGGGAAATTCTAAAGAGGCGAACAACGGTCCTCCGTTTAACTTCCCTGGTAACTTCGGCGGGTCTGGCACGTTTGGTCCCCCTCTACCACCGCCTGGAATAGGTGGCTTTCCTGATTCTAGACCGGGAATACCTGCAGTTGCAGCTGGCGGTTTACCTGGTGCGGGTATCGAGGTCCCGGGTTTTGCAGGTGGGCCTGCTAATTTGAGTGGACCGGCAGGTTTTGCAGGGGGTCCTCAGACTTTTGGTAACGGTCCTGGGAACCTAAGTGGACCCCCTGCCTTTGGTGCTGGCCCTCCGGGAATTGCTGGTGGTCTTGCACATTTGAGTGGACCTCCAGGGTTTGGACCTGGACCGGGAAATATACATATTGGTGGACCCCCAGGTTTTGGAACAGCGTCTGGGAAGCCAGGACCAACTGTCATTAAAGTGCAGAATATGCCCTTTACTGTTTCGGTGGATGAAATTTTGGATTTCTTTTATGGTTACCAAGTGATCCCTGGTTCAGTGTGCTTAAAATACAATGAAAAGGGCATGCCCACTGGAGAAGCAATGGTTGCATTCGAGTCTCGTGATGAAGCTATGGCAGCTGTTTTTCATTTAAATGACAGGCCTATAGGCTCCAGAAAAGTGAAACTTGTTTTAGGGTAGCTGTTAATATGAAGTAGCTGTAGAATAGATCTTCATAGTGCTGTGATAAATGCATCCGGATTGGTTTTTATAGTATTTCCAGGATAGAACCTGTGGATTGTTGAAACTGTAAAACGGATTGGTTTTGCTAAGACAGAGCACTGGGTTAGCCCTTCCATCGGCCTATAGGCTCCAGAAAAGTGAAACTTGTTTTAGGGTAGCTGTTAATATGAAGTAGCTGTAGAATAGATCTTCATAGTGCTGTGATAAATGCATCCGGATTGGTTTTTATAGTATTTCCAGGATAGAACCTGTGGATTGTTGAAACTGTAAAACGGATTGGTTTTGCTAAGACAGAGCACTGGGTTAGCCCTTCCATCAGAAATACTGCAAGGGTAGATGCGCAATGAATTTTCCTGAACAAATGTGTGGAGAAGCTGGACAGATTCTTACTTATCATAGAAGTTTGTTAAACTATACTGGACACAGTGCTTATCAAGGAATCTAGGTTGGTGTTACGTAGCTTCGGAGAAGGGAAATGGGTGAGGTCAGTGAAGCTCTTCGGTGGGTGCTCTTGCAAGCCATTGTAAAATAGATAGCTGTTTCTAGATTTGGTTAAAAGCTGCCTGAATTTGCTTTGTTTACAGGTCAAAGCTTTGTTTAAAGTCCTGATTTTACTCTGCAACTGAACGAATTCTCAGTGTACACAGATTAATTGTTTTGTGTATGTATCTTTATTTTTTCCAAGATTCTCACTGTATGAACAGTTGAATTATGCCCATTGCTGATGTGTCTACCAAACTAATTCCTATAAGTATGAGCAGAATCATTCTGTAAAATTCAAGCTGTTCTTTGTGGAATAACCTTTAGTTATTTATATATTGCAATTATAACTGTGCAGAATAAGACTTTTGCCACAAGTGTAGCTGACCTCGAACATTATCATATGAGTTTTGTAGTACACTTATAAAACATTTGCAGTAGAAGTAACGACTCGAAAACGCTCATTGTTTAAGTAGCTTGATTTGTTAGGATTACATGAATCAGTTGGAGTAGGGTCTTTGACGCTAGTTGGGATATTGATGTTGTATTTCTAACGTGTCTCGAACTCCTTACGTAGAGTCTCTGCTAAGAGAACCAAAGTGGTGATTATTAGTAGAAGATTGGAGTCTAGCTAAAGTTTTAAATTAGTTTATATATGAAAGAAGCTTTTGTCTTCAGCAACTCTGTGAATTACTGCTATGGGTGAATTCAGAGATAAAATTTATTTTTCTCCAAAACTTGAAAATACTGAGTTTACTATATATTTTTGCAATAAAGTTGTGCTGTTGTATTCAAAGTCTGTAAAGAGTTGCCGTTTTCTTTGCTGTGCAGTAAAACCTTCTGTGGAAAAACACAGAATTGGGAAGGAAGTAATTACAGAAGTGAAAAGTGGAATTCTTTTGGTTCATCCCTGCTTAGCTTACGATAAATTTTGACTTGGGCATTGCCTGAAAAAAATCCTACTATTCCCTGCAAATCATTGTACTTAAACATAGTAAACTTTAATCCATTTTGGTTTTTGGACTAAGGAAAACAGTGCCTTTTGGTGTTGCTTATCATGGAACACTGAAGTGTATGGTCAGGCAAAATGGCGAGGTGCAAGTGGCAACAGTTTTATTCCCGCGGTGTGTAGGGGAGATTTGAAAACCTGTGCAGCGCTGCGTCCCGAGAGGAGTTCACAGTACAGGAGTCTGTGGAAGGATTGTACAAAGGTGTACTTCAATAAAGAGGCGGTCGCATTACACAGATGCTTCTGTAATTCATTAGCATAATTTTGTTTTGACAGATTACTAGGTGGTCCCAACTTTGGAAAAGTCATGTGATTTGTATATACTGTTTAAAATTAAGCCTCCTGTTAATAAAACTGTCTGTCTCTGAAGCTTCATGTTATGCGTTTCAACAGTCTTTGGGAGTAATGTTTAAACAGCAGATCTTTGTTTCTTTTTTTTTTTCTTTTGAAAGTCTGAAAGTACTCTTGCTGATGTCAGAAAGATGTGTGATTAGGAGTCAAGCCTTTCAGTTTATTTTTAAAGTTTTGCTCTTTGTTTTTTAAACAACTTTTATTAAAGTTTCATACTATATTGGAGTTATTTGGGTGCTTGTTTCTTCACGTTTCACATTAGAATAAAATTACTGAAAAGGAAAACTTGGCTTCATTGTTCACGGAATTGATTTAAGATATCAGTGTGTGTTGACTTGCGGAAACTGGTGATAACTTTTTTCAAGTTCAAATGGATCACAACAGTGCTTGCCTTGTTGTGAAATGGAATTAACCTGCGGGTGTCTGGAATTAGGTACACGGTTCTGTGTTACTTTGGTAATGGATACAGGGTTCCTAGTGTTTGTGTGAGACGCAGCGTATGCTGCGAAACATGCTTGTGTGCCTGTTCCGTTGGACTTTCGAAAAGTGCAGGTTGGTTTTGGAAATCTTTAATTTTCTAATTGCTGGTTTTCTGTACGATCTAAAGATGTTTAAATGTGGGTCTAAAAAAAGTGCAAACCGATACAAAAAGCCATTGGTGTTGCGAACACTGACATGGATGGAACGCTGAAGTGGAGGATTTGGGGTGGAGGAGGGGCTCTTCCATCTTGCCATGCCGTTGATGCTCCATATCTTTGAGCATAAATTGGTAGCAAATTGGTCAGTAAATATCCTCCCTTCTTCCTTGAGAGTAGGCCCTTGGAAAAAATAGGGAGTTGTGGCATATTTAGAAGTTTTGTGTGTACTGTAAATAGTACAGCTGCTGTCCCAAATAGTTACGGTTGATCCTTTAAAGCGTGGAAGGAAGCATTCATTGTCGAGTGTCGCTTGCAAACGTAAGAGGTTTTCTGTAACAACTTGCTTTCATGTTAGAAGCGGCCTTAAACTGCGTGTCATGCTAAATTATGAAGGATGCCATTATAGTAACAGACTGCATGGCTAGATTTGATATAATAGTTTACTTTGATCATCTTTATATTTGTGAGCAGCCTTAAAAATAAGGGGTTGGACCTCTGAGGTCCCGTCTCCAACGTGGAAGGGGTGTAATTGCCCTTGCATGTACACCTCAAGGCTGGCTGCTAACCAGGCAGCAACAGAAAGAATCAGCTAATGGACACTGCTCAAATGTGCTGTTGTTTTGGCCTTGATGCTTTGAGTGTCAGGAACTGACAGCCTGCTTAGCCTCGCTGGAACGATGCAGTCGGTGACACTGATGGCCCAGTTTCTTCAAGTTATGGAAAGAAGGTACATGTGTTTTTGTATCTGGCCAAGTTGGTGTTTTTAGCAGTTCCTTAAGTGTTAGGGTCTAAGTACTACTTGTAAAAGAAAAAAGGAAAAAAAAGAAGTGATAAAGTGTTACATTCAGACGTGATTTCTGTTAAACATACATATTTTTGTCATCCCATTCACAAGAGAAAGTATGAATGTAGTAAATTATTCAATTATAAACTTGAGACCTACATGGAAGAACTGCAATGATTAGATGAAAGTGTGACTTCAGAGTTACCAGGTTTTCAAGCAGTTACACGTAAATGTCGCAGTCCAATTTTGTTTCTAACACAAGTCAATTCTGTAATATTACAGACGACGTTAAAGCCCGTTCCTCATTGATGAATTGTTGCCACGTTCTAAATGTAGACTTACGAGAGGTTTGAGGCTTTGTAGGCTTAAAGAAAACTGAAGGATCCTTCTTGCTTATTCTAAGTAGCATTCCTTTCATAGCATTTAATGTTTTCCTTGAATGCCTGTGCTCTGAATTTGTTGAGTGGAGAGGAAGATCGATGCAAAAATGTGTAGTCATGCGCCAGTTGACGTTGAAGGTCTGCCTTCTGAAGAGCAGACGTGCTGGTCGGTTCTGCCGAGTTGGGCAGGCTGTCCTTACAGAAGTTGTTGCCTATACTGTGTGAAATCAGCAGTTTGTTTTGCCGAGTCTGTTCTGGTGCAGTAAAGACTGCAGAAGCTCAGAAAAAGAATATTTTTCCAGTTACCTAGACATACCAGTGGTGCATTAACTGTAAATAACAATTTTGGTTTCTGTGTTTTGTTCGTCCTCAGTCTTCTGCTGTGGTGGTTCCAAAGCTGCTGCTTCCTTCAGCAAGTGCTGTCGGTCCTCGGCGTGTTGTGCAGCAGTGTGCGCCTCTGAACCGTGTTCGCCGTCCGATCTGCAGTGTTAACCTGCTACGTATTGTGGGGTGCTTAAAGCCTCTCGTTGGACAGCGGACCGCTCTTAGGGTGCAGTGGTTTTAGGATGATTATCCGGATATGTGGGTTAGACCCTGAATCAAAGGATTGTGATTCCTGTTTAACACAGACTATAGCGCAAGCGAAAGACTGGTTTCTGTCTTGGATGAGATAATTGGTTGGAAGGATGCAGTTTTGCAACTGGCTTGGTATATTGGGTAGCATTTAGTTTGAGTCTAGACATACACAAATGAGTTTTATGTCAGTTTGCTTCTTTACACATTGTGCAAGTCTTTAAAAAGAAAAGAAACAAATGCTAAATTCTGTTGCTGTAAGAGGTTTTTCAGAAGCGGTGCCTTGGGCCTGGAAGTAGTGTTGCCAAATACATTTGCTTGTCTTTGCCCCTTTGCAGGTTTGCTGATGCTGACTTCTGTTCTGTGGCTGTATGTTCGTTCATGGTTTTGGGAACACTGAGCCAGCGTTTGTGTACAAAGCGAATGACTCTTCCTCCCAGAGGAAGAGGAAGTGAAACTGTCTGTTAAAAGCTTCTGCAGGAAGAGTAACCTCAAGGGGTGCTCTTCCTATCTGTTTTTGGCAGCAAGAACATGATTGTAGGTGAAAGGTTTGGCTTTCCCACGGAATGAAAATCTGTCAGTTGGTAGTGTGCGTTCAGCTTACGGATTGTGGCTGTGTACTGAACTCCACGGCTCGTTCCCTGTCTTGTGATCAGGTAGGTACACGGTAGCTTATTTTCCGTGCAGGTGACTTTGTCAGTAATTTTCTTGGAGCTTTGTTACTGCGTGGGGTGTTTGGGTGTTGTTTGTGCAGGGAGCGCTTCCTGCTTTCCTGAGTTGGTGCTTTTCACTCAGGGCTATAAATACCATATGTAAGAAAAGTAGCCCTGAAAGTGTTCCTTTTC